TGTGAGAAAGATTGCCTGAAATTTAAGACTTTTTCAGCTACTGCGTAATTTTTCAACAAGATCACCCAAATGGGAAATAATATCGGTAGAAAAAAAAATTAGAATCCACATTGCTGTCACTTTACGTGATGTAGTTCGGAGTAACCTTTCTGAAATAGTACAATTTTATCATGTACTCTCGACCAGTAGAGGACTTCCAACTCGCACAACGGGGAAAATGTCAATTGATCATATGTTGATGGCGGGATTCGATCTCGCGTAGGTCTAAATTCCGCCATTCTTGCAGGTCTAAAATTTTAACATTCTTGGCGGGATTCGATATCGCGTAGGTCAAGATTCCATTCTTGCAGGTCTAAATTTTTAACATCGTAATGCAATGTTGGCGAGAATTGAACCCGCGTCTTCAACGATCTACAGAGTGCCAAGGTGTCTTCTGGAGAGGGCTAGATTTAGGTCAGTACGGCGGATAGTTTCGGGTCATTTCCATGCGAAACTGTCCCTCAACTAGCCCGCAGGTATCTTCTCGGCCAATTTGGGGACATCGCTACGGAGGGTCGGATCTGGGACAGTAACTTTTTGCATTTGAGGTATTGTGCGAGCTAAATCGTGATGGAGGCAAGATCTGGGCGGCATGTACCAGTTGCAAATAGAAGATACCCGAGCTGCTGCTAGTAAAGCTGATGCTCAGAGGCAGTAAGTGGGGTAGTATTGGGGTGTGTGATCGGCCAGAATGTGACGAAAAGGAGTGGTGAGGCCGATGGGAGCGATGGCAAACTTTTTCGCATGTGTTCTGCGTACTTGCTTGCAAAAAGGTAGAGGGCATCAGGGCCGCTGTCGACGTTTAACCCAAGAAATTGGGTGACGCTGGAGGAAATAGTAACTTCAAAAATTGTTTGGATTCTTTCCTCCATGCGCCCTAGAAGAACTGTTGCACGAGCCCGGTGTACAGTAAGTCGTTCACGCAGGCGATTTGAAGAATGTAATTCCCCAAAATTCAAGTCTGTACATTCCAGGATCGTGGGGCAGCTGCACGAAGTCGAGTGAAATCAGCACTTTGTGAAGATGTTGCTGCCACAGTCGAGGAGCTTGTTTGATGTCGTAGAGTGATTTAAGCAACTTGCAGATGTGGAGTCCGTCGCCGTAAGTGTGAGGAGTTCGACGCAAATATCTGCATCGACGTCTGTACATAAAAACACAGCAATAGCGAAGTGGCTAATGGCGGCTGGCAGCAATAGCAAGAGGAATTCGAAACTGAGGTATGGCGGCTGATCGGAGCAAAAGTCTGGTCGTAGTCGATGCCATGGGTTTGTTTGAAACCTTGAATGACCGTTGGTTGCTGAACTGGGACAGCAAGGCCAAGGATCTGAAGAGCCGATTGGTCACCACGAGGATGAGGTTGGCCAACTTCGACGATGTCAACCTCGTCAATTTCATATGGCAGATGGCGGGCACCGTCATGTGATGCTGCGTCTATTTTCTATTGGAACAGGTGCTCCTCATTCTGTAATTATAGACAGCCTGTGTCATGGCATGACGCAAGGGTCTGAGAGGGGAATGAAGAGCGGGGTGTATGTATTGTTGGCACGTGTCGAGGGAATATATGACTCGAACAGTGCTGCGTCACGGGAGAAAGGACCAGGTGCGACTGCTGACATAGACGGCTACGGAGCTGTATAAGGTCCTGCTGCTGCGTTGTTGGGCGGATAATATTCTTCGGCTGCATGTGCTTCATCTTGAGGGGTGCAGAAACTCCATTCGACACTGTAGCAATCAAGATCCCGTTGTTGATGTTCCTTGTCGCGTTCGAAGTCATCGAGAAAAAGTTTCTCGTAGAAGATGCAATCTCGGGCATACAAAACCTTTCGGGTTTCATAATCCATAATTATCCAAGAATAGGAATCCTTGGGTACACCAAGGTGTATTCCCCATCGAGCCCGCTTTGTAAATTTGCCCACATTTGTGCTCGGAGGTCTGTATTGGACAATGCTGCCCTAAACTCATAAAAGTCGAGTGTCGGCGGGGTGTTTTGTCTACATGACGTGGCCAGCTGAATAGAGTGAGAGCTGTTGACGACATGCAGTTGTGTAATCGGACAGCTTGCGTCATCGCAAACAACCAAAAATCTCCTGTCAAGCTGGATTGTTGCAGCAGCACGCACATCTTCGCTTGCAGCATTCAGTTCATCCTCTCGGCTATTCCATTCTGCTGATGGGTGTAAGGCACCGTCTTGCACCTGGGAATCCCTTTCCGCGCCAGAATTTCATCGAAATGCTCGCTAGTGTACTCACCCGTGTTGTCTGTCTCGATCTCTTTTAGCTTGATGCCGCTCCGCGATTTTCTGCCATAGCTTGAAGGCGTTGAGAGCTTGAGACTTGTGAGGGATATTCTTGTGCCAGACGTATCGAGTAGCACCGTCGATAAAGGTAATGATATAGCGGTAGTCGTTGCCGCTGATATCCTCTGCTTCCTACGGCATAAAGAGTATGTCGCTGAAAACGGCGTCCATAGTGTGATGGGAACGGAGCATGAGTTACGTGAACTTCAAGGCAGATGGTGTGAGAGTACGACCCCGTTACACCACTTGTCCCTTCTTTCTTTCTTTTCTATTTCATCTCTCTTTTTCTCTCATCTTATTTGGTTTCCTATTCTCCATTTTCCATTATCCTTTGGTTTATCCTGTTATTATAATTATATCACCGACCATGCTTGAGATGTACTGGCGCGCTCTATCTAGCGTAATCCTATCGTAATCCCTTAAAGCCAATAGCCTCGCGTGGCTATACGCAGGGTGATTCTATATTCTAGAAGGGTCTATTCCCTTGGGATAAGATAAACCTGGTTACCTGATGTACTCTGGAAGTATAAAAGTGCCTTGTACTGATTGATAGGGCAATCTTTCCTCGAGTCATTCGATCCTGTAACACTTGGTAATCAGAGCTTTTCTCACTCGGCCGCGCTCAACAAAGCAGCAGCAGCGGGAAAACCTGCCTCGAAAAACCGACGGGGGCGACCAATTCGACACCGATTCTGGTAAGCACCAGCTCCGCGTTTTTTCAAATCACCCCCCCCCGCACGTGTTTTGAACAGGATGGCAACCTTCGACAACGCCGAGGTTACCCAGCAGCTCTTCGCGCGCATCGCAGCCCTTCAGGGGGGAGATGCGAGCGGATCACGAAGCGTGGCGAAACGAGTTCGAGCGAGTAACTCGACTCGCCGGAGCGCAGTACGAATCGACAACGGCGACGACGCAGCAGTCGCAGCAGTTTCTCGAGGCTCCGAAACCGGGCCCACCTGAGCCGTTCGATCCGAGCGATCGAAACTCCGACGCCCGCAGATGGATCGCCTGGATGGAGATCTACTTCGCAGCCGTCGGATGGAGCTCGCCAGTTTGTGACGGTCAACGTGTACGACTCGCGGCGACAGTGATGCGAGGGCCGGCACTCGACTGGATTGGCGGCAACAGCACGTTCATCCAGGGCGAAGCAATGTGGCAGCAGTTCTGCACCGACCTGCTGAAACGCTTCGAGCCGATAAATTCGGGTTTCCTTGCCCGGGAAAAAATTCATCGCCATCCACAGTTCGGGAGTATTATACAGATGGCGAATGTGGTCAGTTTGCCATCCACAGCGCAATACACGCAGCAGATGGAGGAATATTATAACCGAATTCCCGACCTGACCGAAGGGGAAAAAGTACAGTCGTACCTCGCCGGGCTGAAGACTGAAGTCAAACGACAAGTGGCAGCGTCAAACTACGCGAGCTACAGTGACGTCGTTTCGGCAGCGGAGCGCTTCGACATGGTCAACGCCGGGACACGACGGACGCATGTCGGCAGTACGCGACAGGGCGACCGCTAGGCTCACCCCACGTTCGCCGACCCGATGGAAGTCGACAGGTTCGAGGGGCGGCCACGTCCGAAAAACACCAACTACACGTGTGGTTTCTGCGGGGTGCCGGGTCATCGAATCTTCGACTGCAACAAAATGAAAGCCGCACGCGCAGAGTAGTGGGCACGCAACAGTGGCGGAATTCCTTCGGCCAATCATAAGACAAAAAACGGGAGTCGCCAGTGATTGCGGATGTAGCTGGCAAAAATAAAAAGATCCGAAAGCGGCCACGGGATTCCGGGAAAATCAACTTCGACGAAGCTGATTCGATGCGAGAAGGAGGAAATGATGGGGGAAAATCTCCACCCCAAGACCAATCTTCGCCAGGGAAAATCGCCGAGAAAAAATACGACTCCGCGAAAAAAGACTCTGCCGAGACGGGGAAACTCTTTGAAGACCCAAGAAATTATAAGGATTCGTTAAAGTTATCTTATAAAGATGCTTTAATGAAAACTTATGATTTTCGAGGGGCTAGAGCCTTGGAGAAAATTCGGGAAGGACTCCAGAAGAAGCAGTCAGCTGTGGAGATTATACCGGTACCGGACAACTTGGGGAAAAAAGTGGAAAGAAGCCGACCTTTCCACGGAGTCAACGTCCTCTCCCAACACCAGCCCACAACGACTACCCGTTCCCCAGGGAAGACGTCGGTGGAGCTGAAGCAGCTCAAGAGGAAGCTGGGGGTCTACAAAAAGCTGCAGAAATCCCGAACTCCTCCTCCGGATGCATCCAGTTCTTCAGCATCAACGACGCGCACAGTCGTGAAGGAAACTCTGGGCCCTGGAGAAGAGCCGTTCTCCAAGAAGCCTCGGCCAGCTGCCAGCTCAGGAGTAGAGAGCAACACAAAGGTGTGTACAGAATATTGGGATGTACCCTATGACCCAATCAATGAAACCATCCTTGGGTACTCCGAGCAACGCTTGCCCCTCGTGCTCGAGGTCATCTGCAAAGGACGACGCCTCCAAGCACTCGTGGACAGCGGAGCATCACACACCGTCTGCGACAAGGCAGTAATAGACCGACTTCGGGAAGAGTACAAGCCTTCAGGATTCTCTGCAACGATGGTGGACGGAAGCAAGTTACTAGTACAAGGCGAAGCAGTGCTACACCTACAAATCGGACCACTGCGCTGGAGACCTGCACTCCCCATCACCAACATCAAAGGGCTTGACCTGATCTTCGGGCGAGACTTCCTAAACCGATTCAACACCGAGATCAACTGGGTGAACCGCACCGCAAGCATCTACAACAATGGACGGAGAGTACAGCTACCCAACTGGGACGATACAGGAGATATCCCAGTAGAGACACTCTCCAGATTCAAGAAGAACGTGAAGCGAACCGACGCCGGGTTCTTGGCGATAGCAACAGTTGTGGAAGATGATGGGGAGAAACTTCGAAACCTCCGGAAGAGATCAAGGAATTACTAAAGGAGTTCCAAGACATTCTTCCCGATAACCTTCAGAATGAGCTACCGCCATACCGAACGCATCAACACGAGATCGTGGAGGAACCGAGTTCGAAGCCGACCTTCCGAGCACCATATCGGCTCAGCCCTACGGAGCTGACCGACATGAAAAAACAGATCGAGTATCTCCTAACCAAAGGACTCATCCGACCATCCACTTCACCGTACGGTGCCCCAGTACTCTTCACACCAAAACCGGGCGGAAGCCTGCGCATGTGCATCGATTACCAAGCTCTCAACAAGCAGACCATCAAGAATAAATATCCGATACCGTGAATCGATGACCTGCTTGACCAGCTTCGGGGAGCTACGGTATTTTCCAAACTGGATCTGTGGTCTGGATACTGGCAGATACGAATGGCGAACAACTCTATCCACAAAACTGCTTTTCGAACTCGGTATGGATCGTACGAGTATTTGGTAATGCCGTTCAGACTCACCAACGCACCGGCAACGTTCCAAGCCGAACCACATTCTACAACCACTCTTGGACGAGTGCGTGGTGGTGTACCTGGACGACATCCTCATCTACTTGGGCGACATGAAGCAGCACGTCGAACACCCGCGACGCATCTTCGAAATTCTTCGACGAGAGCGATTCTACGTCAAACTGTCCAAGAGCGAATTCGCCCTGGAGAAGGTCCAATTCCTAGGACACATGGTGAGCACTCAAGGAGTTCACGTCGACCCCAAGAAAATCGAAGCCTTGCGTACGTGGAAGACACCCGAGAACGTGAAGGAGTTGTAGTTGTTCCTAGGCTTCGCTAATTAATACAACAGGTTCGTGCCACAATATGCGAAACTCGCAGCACCACTCACAAATCTGCTGAAGAAGAACACGCCCTACAAATGGGAGCCGAAGCATCAGGAAGCCGTGGAGCAGCTGAAACAAGCACTCACGTCCGCACCAGTACTCATCTTGCCAGATCCCGAACGCGACTACGTAATCGAAGCTGATGCCAGCAACCAGGCAGTGGGAGCAGTCTTAATGCAAGATCAGGGGAATGGACTGCAACCAATCGCCTACCTGAGTAAGAAACTACACGAGGCAGAACTCAACTACCCGATACACGACAAAGAGGCCCTGGCTATCATCATCACCTTCAAAGCGTAGAGATGTTATCTCGAACGACAAAAAACAACCGTCTACACCGACCACTGCAGCCTGAAATATTTGAAGACACAACCCAACCTTTCCAGGCGGCAGGTCCGGTGGATCGACTTCCTCGAGACACACTTCCACTACGACATCGTGTACAAGCCTGGCCACAAAAACAAAGCAGACGCTCTCAGCCGGCCTGCACACGTTGCCGCTATTCAGATTGAAGGGATGAATCCACTACTCAAGGGACTCTTCACACACGGGTACGCCATCGACCCCGAAATTCCGTTAGCAGAAAAGCGACACCTGCTACAGTGGGACAGTGACATCGCGTACTAGAAAGGATCAACGAAAATCTGGGTACCCAATTACCCTCCTTTGCGCCAGTTACTACTCGAAGAATACCACGACGTCCTATACGCCGGACACTTCGGTAGCAACAAGACGCTGACCGGTATTGCAAAACACTACTACTGGCCCCACTTGGCAGAGGATGTTATGAAGTTTGTCACCTCGTGTGATACATGTCAGCGGATGAAGAGCAGCAAGCAGAAAAAACCGAGACTACTGCAGCCTCTTCCAGTCCCAGAACAGCCATGGCAAGTGGTTAGCCTGGACTTCATCACCGGGTTACCACCTACCACCAGCGGTCATGACGCAATCCTTGTCATCATCGACAAGTTCTCCAAAATGGGACACTTCATCCCGACACACACGATGGCACGCACCGAGGAGACAGCACAACTCTTCGTTCGTTACATCATCTCACAGCATGGCATTCCAACCACACTCATCTCCGACCGAGACCCCAAGTTCATTAGCAAGTTCTAAAAGGAACTTATGTCTCTCCTCGGGACCAAACTCGCCATGTCATCCGCTTACCATCCGCAGACGGACGGACAGACCGAGCATCTCAACCAGATTGTTGAGCAACTCCTCCGTGCAGCCTGCAAGGACGAGATCTCCAAGTGGGACTTGCACCTGCCCGTTCTAGAGTTTGCTTACAACAACGCTACACATGTCGCTACCGGACAAACGCCGTTCTTCCTCTGCTACGGACGCCACCCGCTCACACCACAAAAACCGACAACATCCGCTATAGTCCAACCTGCACATGAATTCATCACGACCATGCATCACCTTTGGGATCGGACCCACAAGCGCCTCCTCGACATTCAGCGGCAACAGAAGCGCCAGGCCGATCGCCATCGCAACGACCACACCATTACCGTGGGAGACCAGGTGCTCCTTGACACCCGCAACCTTGACATCAGCCATCTCCCATCTAAACTGCGACCTCGCTTCTGCGAGCCTTTCCTCGTTGAAGTACAGGTCACTCCTGTTACCTTCCGCTTACGCCTGCCAGCTACCTGGAAGATTCACAACGCCTTCCATGTCCAACTTCTGAAGCCCTATCGGGATCCGAACACGATCTTCGTTGGACGCCAATCGCCGCCGCCGCCGCCCGTCCTCGTCCAGAATGAACTTGAGTACGAGGTCGAATTCGTGCTTGCACACCGCCGTCGTCGGAATGGCACCGTGGAGCTTCTTATTCGTTGGAAGGGTTATGATCCTTCTGAGGACAGCTGGGTACCTTAGACCGACAAGGATAACGCTCGTCGTCCTCTGCATGACTACCTTGTCAAGCAGGGTGTTACTTCTACCACCCAGCTTTGAGGGGGGGAAGTGTGAGAGTACGACCCCGTTACACCACTTGGCATTTTCCCTATTTCCTTTTCCTTCCATTTCTCTTTTTACCGCATCTCATTTGGTTTCCTATTCTTCCTTTCCCATTAACCTTTGGTTTATCCTGCTATTATAAGTATATCACCGACCAGGCTTGGGGTGTACTGGCGCGCTCTATCTAGCGTAATCGTACCGTAATCCCTTAAAGCCAATAGCCTCGCGTGGCTATACGCGGGGTGATTCTATATTCTAGAAGGGTCTATTCCCTTGGGATAGGATAAACATGGTTACCTTATGTACTCTGGAAGTATACAGTAAAAGCGCCTTGTACTGATTGATAGGGCAATCTTTCCTCGAGTCATTTGATCCTGTGACAGATGGTGCAGGGTGATTGACGGTTGCTAGGTCGAAGCTCCTGGCCGTTGGTTAAAAGGAGAGCATCCTTGTCGCAAACAGAGGCTTTAATGGAGTTGTTAAGAGCTTCTTGCAAGGGATGACCTAAACGCTTGTGCCAGATTTCTGTTGTAGTCTTGTGTCCCTTTAAACGCACGTACAAATCGGAATGAAGGAAAAAGGCTGGCGAAAGATGAATCGTTGGCACAGGGTTAACGCAGCGGCCGATGCCAAAAGGCTGGATGAACCCGTCTTCTTCTGCAGTTTCAGCCCAAGGTACGCCGAGATGTCGGCGACACACCGAGCATCAGGTACGATTAACTCTTTCTTGCCCCATGTGTGTTCAACTTCCATAGGTTCTTCGACTCTAGCAGATGTCGGTTCTTGATTTTCGTAACCCCAATTTCCATCTCCAGATGCCCATGTCGCTTGACCTGTTTCTGCTGCTGCTGTTGTTATCTCGGCTGGAGATTCGTCGGGAGAGTTGGTGCGAGAAGGCATTAAGACATCAAGACCACGATGGTCTTGGCGCGGAAGATCCGTCTCCCAACGATGATGCCAAGGAGCAAGTGAGACATTCTTCTCACTATCGCCAAATGCTTTCATAGGTGAAAACCGTAAAATGGAAACGTCCTCTTTAATTTCTGCGATGCCGACTAAATTGCTTTTGTCTTCCTTCTTGTCGCCCAGGTACAACTCCGTCACCATCGCGTTGGCGGTGCTGATGAAACAGATGTCGCTTTCCATCAGCTGAGCTTGTGAAAGTAGGTTGAGTCCCGTGGCGATGAGAACCTTATGAAGGTGAAGTGAAACTTCTGTGTCGTCGGACTCTAGTATCACGTCTCTAGTTTTGGTGGCTTCAATAACTTGATTGTTGGCCATAGTGAGGTTGTATTTTTCTCCTTTTGTCAGGTCTCGCCAGTTGAGGAAATAGCGACTTGAAGACGCCATGTGGCGACCGCAGCCGCTGTCAAGAAACCCAAGTGTTAACATGCTCGAGATACGTACGCTTGGCGATGTGATCGTACGGCTGCTCTGGTTCTTCTTCGTTAACGACTCCTGTATCTGGATTTTCTGAACGACGGCAATGACGTAGAGGTAGGTTGGCTAGTCCTTCTTCTATGTCACTGTCACTGTCATTGTCTCGTCGACTCCAGTAGCGTACCACTAGACCAGTATGGTCCAATCATGCAATTAATAATTGCCTTTCCTTTTGCATGTTGAGTTGAAGAAGCTGAAGGCGGCGAGATAGTCTTGACAGGGGTGGCTTCAACCGACTTCTGCCGATTCCTGTTCTTCAGTTTTTGACACTCTTCAATATTGTGACATGCTCGTTTGCAGAGAAAAAGCCCTTGCCTCATTTTCTTGTCTGCTCCTATTGGCTTGATGCACCTCTTGTCTAATCCCCTAGATTTGATCCACTATTGGCTTTGCCTACTTTCACGTTGCTCCCCCTTACATCAGGTCCAAGTCCTGATGCTCTGCCATCAGAGTAGCGCAACGAGAAGTTTCTGAGATGTTCCCTTGTGAACGAAGAAGGGACTTGCACTGCCAGAAGAATAGTGACGAAGAGCTCATCCCTGAGATCTCCTCCGCACTTGCTGTGCTTGATATAACCTTCGCATATAGTCCTTGGCGTAGAAGGCTTGAGCGAGTGAATGTGTGAAGCACCGAACTCCCAACTGCTAATCGTGAAACATACAGAATTCCAAAGAGCCTCCCAAAACATTGGTGTTCAAATGTTGGGAGTGAAGAGATTCCGCACCAGTAGTGTAGAGGCCATAAGCGAATACTTGTAATAACACGCGTGTTCTTCGGTCGATCCTGTCTCTGGATAACGGATTCCCGTCAAAATATCCCCAGATACCCGAAGATTGCGCCAGGAGTTCGAATTCGAATCCCCAAGTATAGATTTCACGGCCATCAAAGTAAGTTGAGGTGTTCAACTTGGTGATAGTTAGAAAATGCCGCACTCGTTTTTTCTCTTTGGTGAAACCTTTCCTGGTTCCTACAGTTCCGCGTTTTTCGCATGCGTCGCAGCTTGAGGTATGGCATCCGAGCTTGGAAATTTTTTGTGCATTGTCCGAACCCAAAATTGGTACACCAATGTTTTGGGATGCTCTTAGGAATTCTGTATGTTTCAAGATCCGGACGTTGGCGAAAACCCCGTCTGGATTTCTGTCATGACTTTTGGCCATTGGGAACGGCTGCACCACGCCCCTAGGTTTTGACTCGGGGAGGGGTATAAGAATTGAAGAAGTGAATAATCGTTAGAGACAGGGTACACACAGATATACCTAAGTGTTGTACCCTCTAAGAGGCTACCCTATACAGTCTATACAAACATGACAAATACACATGTTTGACACACCCCCTAGACTGCATAGGGGAATGTCCTAAACAAGCAGCTTAGGGCGGCACTACTAGTCCAACCTCTGAGACAAGGGTCTGAGAGACCAGTCAGAAGGAGTACAGACAAGGCAAGAACAAGAGCAGGGCGGCACTACTAGTCCAGCCACTGGGAGAGGACACAAGTCCAGTCTGAGTATACATATAAAGGACAGTACAAAGTCAAGGTCCTAGCAAGTGAGAGGCTACAGGAACTAGACCAAGCTGTACACAGTGCCGCTGATGATCTTTAGGCGCAAGCGCCTTCGTAAAGATATCAGCCGTGTTGGCACCTGAGGCCAAGTGTACTACGCGAGCCTGACGTCGCTGCTGTAGCTCACGCAGGAGGAAGTACCGCAGCTGAATGTGCTTCGCTCTGCCCTCGAGTCGAGGCTCCTGACACAGGAGGATCATGGCCCTGTTGTCAGCGAACAGGACCGGGGCAGAGCTAGGCCGCTCACCTAAGTCAGTGAGCAAGAAGGTCAGCCAGCGGAGCTCCTGTGCCGCCATGGCACCAGCGTAGATCTCAGCCTCACAGCTGGACTGCGCCACAGACGAGGAGCGGGTAGCTCTCCACGAGACGGCACCTGAGCCAAGGCTGAAGCAGTAGCCCTGGGTAGACCTGAGTGTCTCAGCGTCATAGGCCCACGAAGCGTCTGTGTGTCCAGTAAGGTCCACTGGCTTGCGTCCTCCTAGCACTAACCCCATGCCCGATGTACTAGCAAGATAACGCAGAACCCTCTTAGCGGCAGACCAGTGCTGCGGTCGGTGTCTGCCTGTGGCCACAAAACGAGCCAGGATGCTGAGAGGGTATGCGAGATCTGGGCGAGTGCAAGTCATCAGGTACATGAGGCAACCCACCAGCTCTGCGTAGGGGCCGCTGGGCTCTACCAACTCCTCAGACACTGGAGCGGAGAGCCTGTGGTCTACAGGCAGAGGGGTGGGCTGTGCAGAGGAGAACTGAAGGCTGAACCTCTGAAGGACCTGGCGCACCAAGTGTGACTGAGTCAGGGTGATGGTGCGTGCAGCTCTGTCCCTGGAGATCTGCAAGCCAAGGTAACGGCGCAGTTCTCCAAGGTCAGTGCAGGTGGTGTCTCTTCAGCAGCTCTGCCTTCACGAAGGGCCAGTGCGTCCCTGTCTGCTGTGGCAAAGACCAGGTCATCGACGTAAACAAGGATGTAGAACGGAGTCTGGCCAGCACGAACGAAGAGTGAAGGGTCTGCGGAAGACGGAAAGAACTGCAGGTCAGCAAGCGTAGCACGGAGAGTGTCGTGCCACTCACGGGGAGCCTGGCGCAGGCCGTAAACGGGGCGCCGCAGGAGCCACTGGGTCCAAGAGGGAAGGTGCCAGTAAAGCCCGGAGGGCGACGTAGGTAGACCTGCTCGTGTAGGC